GTGGTTCTGTCTTGGATATTGAAAAACAGTTATTTCCCTCCTAGACTCAATTCAAATATCTTATGAAAATTTTTCTTGGTTTTTATCCTAGATTCTCTCATACATTTTGATGCTGGCCTGAGCTGTTGTGCTCAAAAGCAGATGCACTATGTCCCTCCAGTTGGAGTATGAGCTATGGATAACTGCTCTGACTATGTATTTTTCTGAGTAGTACATCCAGATAGGAGTAGTTTCACTTATTCCATGTTTGTGTCACAGGGAGAAACTTAGTCTTCAGAATCCCATTCAGGGTTTCTTCCAGAAAGCTATTTGGTTTTACATGTTTCCTTTATATTATCTTTTAATTTCTACTGAGATGGAGAATATGATTTATCTGTGCAGAACTAACACCTTCCTGTGAAGTAATCAACTCAGAGGAATTGATAAATGATCTTACAGTCTCATTCAGGAAGTTTGAATTGAGAATTCTCATTCAAGTCTCATTCCCCCTTTCTAAGCCCCTGCAAAAACTTGTATCCTTAACACCGCAAGACCAAAAATTTTTGGAATGTAGAGTGTTTCCATGAAATATTTATGAGGAAAAATAGTATTCCAGTGAAAACTGTCTGTGATATAACCACATTATGAGACTGAGAACTCTTTGGGTTCTATGCATCAGCATTAAATGGGAAGAGCAGCAATGTTTTATTTGCTAAATGGCAGCAGCTGAAAGCACACCACATTGCAGTGCCTCCCTCTCTACCTTGGCCGTGCTGCCTCCTTCACCCTGTCCTGGCCAACTCACTCTTTTTCCTCGTCCCCCAGGCTGAGCAAGCTGTGAAGTAAGTCTCAGTGAGCTCATTTTAAATGAAAAATTCCCTTTTTGAAAGGTCTTTATGTTTTTAGACAAAGACCTCCTTCCTTGTCCCTTCTCCCTTAGCTGTTTTACAGGTGCTGCTCCCTGTGTTGGAGGTACTGCAGACAGCCATGGACAGCCACAGGACCCCTTGGTATTCAGATGGGAGGGACATCTTGCTCCTGTCATTAAGTTTTAGCTCTCCTGAAACAAGGAGCCATTTTCAGACTTGGAGCGTGCCTTGTAGTGAAAGTTCAGGGTATACAGAGGTGTTTTTTATTCTGCTGAAATTATGTATGTTGATGTTTTCTAAGTGCCTATTGGTTATTATGAGAGCAGCCAGAGTCTTACAGGGACAGGAGTTCTGCTGTATTTTGTACCACATCTGGAATGGGTGTTCTTAGTTTACCTAACTGTCTGAACAGTGGGAAGAGTTACACATCTCCTTCATTTATGGGATTTCTTCTGTAGGTGGGACACAAGGACTTGCCAGCAGATAATGTCTGGTATCTGCAACGAATCTTACAGCTTCAGTGAGTGTGCCAAGAATTCAAGTACGAGTGAACTGGAGTATCTCTGAGGCTAGCATAGCCATTTCAGTCTTGGCTTTATCAAAAGCTGATTTGTGGATCAAACGAGAGCAGCTGCTGTGTTTGCTTCAAAATCTATCTAAAACATTTTCTACTTTTCTTTTTTTGGGATTTCTCTGTTCAGCTTCAGCTGCTCACTTTACAGAATGTTTGTGCAGATTCTGCTAGGTGCTGTTCTGCTCATCACTTATTACAAATCAATAGAATGCAATTTCTTTTGCTGTCAGTCCTTGGTACACAGGAATAGCAAATTGTAGCACCAACTACTCTCCTGCATGTGCCAGATGGTGTCTTAGAGAACATACTGCAGAGGCTTGCCATGCACAATCCTGCAGATTAAGAATATAGGGCCTACTATTTAACTGCTGCAAATCAGCAGAGAGGCACTAAACAGATTGTGCAATCCCAGTTTGCATTAGATGCTATCTGACTCATCAGGTAATTAATAGAATTTGTTGTAATATATTTGCTGAATTTGCCCTGTCTTCTAAAAATGTCATAGAAAATTATTATATGGTACTTGTGGTACAGTTGATATATAGCTCTTGAATAGAGAGGATTTTTTTTTCATAAGTCATATTAGAGAAAACCTGAAAGCCTTGCAATGCAGAGAACACAGTACAAGTAGTCCAAAATTATATAAATTAAAAACAAGATATTGTGTATGTGCATCTGAGGTTGCTTTTTGAAAAGCATACTGTGCTTTGGAAACTGCAGCACTGACTGCATGTACAAGAAAATGTTACATTCTTCTAATTTTAAAAAGACAACTGGGAAGGTGAAGTAGGTTTAGTATCTGAACAATGTACAGATATTACATGTTAGAGCTGAAGGAACTGACAAGTGGAAGCTGCTGTCTTGACAGTTCACCATAGGGAATGCTAGCTTGGAATCGTTGGCATCATTTGTAACAGACTTTCTTTGAGTGAGTTTGCAGATGTCAGTGTGCTACTTTGTGATTGAAAACATGTATTATAATTGATCTAGCTGTAATCTGTTTGTGAGGAGAATGATGTGAATGGAGAAGCAAGGAAGCCTTTTTCTGTGAAATGTATCAATAAGGAACTGTCTTTTGTGACCTTTTCTCAAAAAAAGAGCACTTTCTCAGATATTAAGTTGTAATTTTTATATATTGCTATTGCAGAGTATATTTGGACTGTTTAAACACAATGATAATATAAGTGCCTTTAAATTCCTTAAGGTTTTTCATGGGGATCACATCTAATATTTTACTTTCTTTTGAATGCTGTGCACTCATGTTCTCTTTTACATGATAGTTTTTCTTGCAGATACTGTGGAACATTCTAAAGTCCTGTTGCTATTTATGGAACTATTTTGAAGTGTGAGCCAAGTTTTTTTTCTTGAGACCATCCTAAAAATGAAAAAGATAGCTACAGATATTAATGAGAATTATGCCAGAGGCATTTGTAGTCAGGCTGTGTCAAAACTGGTTTTGCTGTGCTTCTAGTGCATAAATTTTGACATGAAAGAGTTCCAAGCTTATTTTTCCACTGCAAGCAAAGTATTTTACTTTTGACATCAGCTATTGTAGAAATACACTAGAGACACATTTCCTTCATCCAGGTAAAAGTAAAATCACTGTGAGATCTGTCCTAAAATTTTAATCATACCTTTAAGATAATATTTTTTCTTTGTGTGGTGCTTTTCAAATTCCCATTCCTGTCCAGTACCAAAGTTTGGACACAGCAGTTATTCTGCTGCTATCTATTACCCTTTATTTCCCAAAGAATGTATCTAGTAGGAATTTCCCTAATTTCCTTGAAAATCTTGTAGAAAGGAACATGTTATTCCCTGTGAAGAATTGATTTGCACTTGCCCAGCTGTGTGTGGTACAATGTGCATTGCTTTTGGAATACAGTACTTCAGCAATGAAGAAGGAAACATTTTACATTCATATGATCTCACCACACCATATGTGAAAGCTAATCCTGGACACACTAATGACAATTGTTCAGAAAACAAAACTAGAAAACAGGGTAAACCTGAAATGTTTGTTTACAATTAGTCTGACAGTCCTAATGCATAGATTGCCCACCTGCATGTGTATGCTATTTCTGTTCACATTGGTAGTAAGGATATTGTAAATTTCTCTGGAAGCAGATGATTTCGAATGTTTTCCCTGAGTGCCAGACCAATGACCAAAACCTTCAGTTAGGTTTTGTTAAAATTTTCCTTAATCTCCCTTATGCTTGAAAAATCTTTCTTGATTCTTACAGTCATTTAATGCTGTTTCTGTAGTCTTACAGAAATGGATTTTAATTGTGGTTTGTGAAGATTCAGCAGCGAACTGTACTCCTTCAGAACTGAGTGGCACTATTGTCTGCTGTCCTTAACTCTGTCCTGCACATACTTGTTCCCCAGTATCAGATGTAACACCAGGGCTTGTTTTTGTAAATGTTGGCTTCTAATTGCACCCAATAGTCACACTGAAAAAAGGGGAATAACCAAGTATTAGTTTGGAGATTTCATGGCCTCTTGCACTTCATCATCCCAGTCACTACCCTTGAGCCTCCAGCTTCAAACCTCATCATTGGTCTTGTCTGACTGTTCTGAAAGCAGCCATACACACCCATGCCTTCATAAATCCCCCTCCTGACTTGCTTATGTTCCCCTTCTCCTCCTGCACTAGTGCTTTTTGCTTGTGGCTGAGAAAGAGCCAGGCTTTGGTGGGGAAGTGTGTGAAGGACTTTTCTAGGGATAGGATGATGTATGGCAATGAGTGTGATGTATGGCTCCTTCAGTGTGCTGCTTCTGCATGATGCTTTCCAGTGCTGCCAACATTTCTATACATGTGTTAAAAGTTAACTATCATCAGGTTATTGTTTTTTAAATTAATGCATATAGATATTTCTTAATAGAAGTAAATAGATCTGCTTCCATTTTTTTTTTTTTAATTGTGATTTTGGAAGCTGTATGGTATAAATGTAGTGATAGGGCAAAGTTTGGGTTTCCTCAATAATTTAATTCTGTGGCTTATTGTGTCAAAATATAAATAAGAATGCAGTTGTCTTTAAAACATGTAGCAAATTAAGTTTGTCCCTGAACACTAATCCTAGTGTGGTGCAATCTGAGTTTTTTTGGGTTTATTTCAGCTTCACAATTCACAGAAGCATTGGGATATAGGCAGGATAAATATTTTACAAATTATATTTTGTAAATATATTATGTGACTGTATAATGTATTTATATTACATTAACTGATGCTGGGGAGTCCACTCAACCTTGAGTAATAAAAACCAGTTTTTATGTTGATCAGTTTAATGTGAAATACAAATCCACAACCTATTTTTCTGGTTTATGTTGGTTGTTGTTTTTTTGAAGGATGAAGTTGTGCGGAGAAAAAGAAATAGGTAAGATAGATATATAAACTTTTATATGTCAGTTAAGTGGTCTGATACAAACTCTGCGTGGAATTCTCTGTTTTTCAGCTGTCCAGATTAGGGCAGTACAGCTTTGTATTTTCATTTTGGAGATAAGCTCAAAGAAAGTGTTGAATGGCCGGGTATCTAACACTTCAAAATTTAATAACGTGCTCTCATCTCTGTGTTTCAAAGTGACAGAGTCTCTGGCCCAGTCTGTAGTCCACCATTTAAGATGGATAATGCAGAAAGATCTTCTTGGCCAAGATGTTTTTCTTATTGGGCCTCCTGGGCCTCTCCGGAGATCGATTGCCATGCAGTACCTGGTGAGTGTGTTGGTTTAAATGTGTTGGAGACATTGTTATTAATGTCAGCCATTCTTTTACTAGACAAATGGTAAAAGGTAGTCCTAGAGAATCTTACAGCAAGCTACTTAGGAAGTAAATAAGTTTTTTCATAAGCGTGCTTTCCAAAGCTCAGTTTTTGTTAAAAGACAAATAGAAAGTACAGACATTTTAATACATGTTTTTCTGCTTAAATTCCAGGGGAAAAAAAAGAGTTGGAAAACTGTGTTACCATATGCTATCACAAATGGAGAAACAGTTTGTTCTCGGCATTATGTATGTTAGAAGATTAAGATATCTGCCTTGTGCTACAGACAACAAATCGTTTTTGCTTCATTACATAAAAAAAGAAATGAAGGAAAGGATTTGGGAGAGAAGTGTTCTGAGTAACATTTGGGAACAGTTATTCTGAGTGTTTAGAAAGAGTAGCTGCGTGTATGATCCTCTCTTGGAATGTGGGAAGGACTTGTCTGCAGCCATCTGCATGAACCATGGCAGCACCATGTACAAAATTTCTCATTTAAAAAGTCAGTGCCCTTAAAATGATCGGGGGGTGTGGGGGGGATGTCTGCCCCAAACAGTGATGTGGGTAGGACTAGGTCTGCTGTGAGCTGTGTCTGCAATCTGGTTGAGCAGAGGGTACACAAATGGAGGTGTATAAACAGTTGTCATAAAGATCAGGCATTCCTTTAAAAATCAAAATATTCTAATTCAAAGGCTACCTCCCTGAGGTAAAGCATAGAAGAGAAAGCTACAAGACTCTGAACTTTGTCAAGGGGAGAAAAGGTTTTTTAATTCAGCAAACCAGATGTGCTACTGGACAGTTTGATGTGTTCCTTAAAATAAATGATAAGAGATTGGAATAACCTAAAAAGAGGACTTGGGAAAACACCTGATATCCAGGGATAGGATATAGAATGTACCTTCTTATTTATGCCACAGACTGTATGCACTTGAGATCTATTAGAAAGGCTACCGCTTACTGATTCAATGCCAAGCCAAAAAATTATGTGAAGGCTGGTCTTTCCATGTGAGCTGATACATCCTCTGGTGCCTTTAATGAAAATATACAAGCCTGGAAAACTTCTATTTGCTGTTGCTGAAATCTGTTACACTATCCTTCACAGGGCTAATTGTTGAAAAACACTCTTTTTTCCCCCTTTAGTTAAAAGAAAGTGCAACTATATCTACCTGCAACATAAAGGAATTGGTGGCTTTGTAACCCAGTAGGCACTGCAAAAGTGGAAAGAAAATAGTTTTAATTGGGTTTCATATCTTTGCTTTATTTTTTTTCATACAGCTGTAGTTGAAAGCTGCCTGTTAAGAGAAGTCTGTTAAATCAATGACATCTTTAATGGAGAAATAAGGACTAAGAGCATTTCATTATGAATTGTTTTCCTAAGCAGAATGCATGATAACCCAGATATGGAAGTAGCAGAAATACCTGTTGTAAATACATGGGGGAGTTGTTTTTATTCCTTTAAGATTGCAAATTCTAAGCATATCTCACATTGAATCAAAATAAGAAAAACAATAACCCAAGGGTTATCCTTTCTTTAATAGCCTTTCTTTAATAGCCTAGTTTTACAGATGCAGGGTGCATCTCATTACAGCCAAGGAAGAGAGGATAAGAGTATTACGGTTCATCAGTGTACTGGTAGGGCATGTGCAGGTAATAATCACAGCTACATCATGCTATAAGTGTTAATGAACTGTGAGAGTTGAACATTTCAATCTTTTACAGAAAACTTCTGATTTTTATTTGTGATTTGTAGATGCTGGCTGTTTTTCAGAGTCTGGAACCAGAAGAGTAACCTACAGGATGTTACAGATGTTCAATGGAAAGAGTATATAGCTCTTTTAGAATAGGTTTGGGGAAAATAAAAGTTTATTGAGCAGAAATTCAAACCATTTTGTTTGAGGAAGAACACTCTGTTAACATTTTAAAAATAAGAGATACTAGATTTTGTCCAGATTTATTTCAGATCACTGTGCTGCTGCCTAGAGCTTTTTTTGTACAATTATACAATTAGGTGTGTTCTTAAAGTCCAGTAACTCAGGTTATAGTGTTATTTCTGCAATAACTTTAGGCTGTTGTCCTCAGGAGCTGACAAAGCGGGAGGTTGAATATATCGCACTGTCGAGGGACACCACAGAAACCGATCTCAAACAGCGGCGAGAGATCCGGGATGGCAGCGCTTTTTATCTTGACCAGGCAAGTTGCACTCACACACCACCTAGTCATGGTTCACAAGTAGTTTGAAGGAAGTCATGGCTTATATTATGAAAAATCAATGTGTGGATTGTTGTGTTTCTAATCCAAGTAGAAAGTCCCTTGCACAATAATCTCATTATTGTCATAAATGTTATCTTTACTCAAATCTAAAACTACTCTGTCTCTTAAGAGTACTACAGGGTTGATTTAGACAGACCATTTTTGGTAAGAATAAGGTCCATTCTGTGCAAGTTAGATAAGCACTGCCCTTGCTATGTCTCTTCCTCAACATTTGCAGTACATTAGGTGTATTCCTGAAATGAATCTTCTGATCAAGTTTAATTGTGAAAGCATCTATTCATGTGTTTAATGACTGCTCTGTGTTGTGAAACCCAAGCACAGTAAAGGAAGACAATTGGGAGATTTGATTTGAAACTTCACTGTTGACCTGGAATAAAATAATGATTTAAACACTCTTGCCATCCATGTTGCTCCAGACCAGTAGCTGATTTGGCACAATCACAGAATGACTTGGGTTAGGTAAGATTTCTCTTCATAGGTTATCAGTGGAATGTTTCCTTTCTGATTATGCAGGTAAAATACATACTTCATGTGTAATGTCTGTTTTCATAGATACCTAAAGTTTTTACAGAAGTTAGGTTTCTGGTTAGATAGGATGGGAGAGTTGCTGTGATGTAGTATGAATTTAAAGGAGTTATCTAGAAGAGTTTTTGGTTGGTGATGCTATAGAGGTTAATGATATCACCATCATAAAGGTGTTTGGTGAGAGAAAACCGGAAACTTTATTCTCTCTTTTAAAGAAACATTTTTCTTTTTTTTTTCTTAAATTCCCAATGATCTCATTTTCAGCTTCCAAATTTTCAAGAAACCTTAAAGTAGATTTTCTTGAAACCACATTAAATGGCTTTCAACAGTGGAAGATCATCAGAATGAAGAATTAAAAATTATTCTAAATATGTTTTATTTCAGTTACTTCTAGGACCTCAAATTATTTCATTCTTATCTGGAAATGTGAGGATTGCACAACAGGAGATAATTTGAAGCACTGTACTGTGTTTTAGGGCTGTAAATGGCTTCTCATTTACCAGAGGATTAAAGCATTTGTGTAGGTTCTGGGATTAACTCATAGACTATTATCACTTCCACACCTGTCTGCTGTTACGGGCAGCCTTATCCTCACCCTCGGTACAGGATAGTCAAGGCAATTGAGCCATGGTGTAATAGCATTAATTAACTAACATCTGTAAGAGCAACTGCATCAAGGACTGTAAGAAGCTCACTGAGATGTGAGATGGTCTGTTACTTGCGTATTTGTGTGTAGACTTTGATCCCAGACTTTGATTTGTACAAAGTGAGGCTGTCTCACTCTGTTTAGAGTCATCTCACTCCAGCATGAACACTCTGTGAAGATTTGCTTCTTAAGATCAACGTCTAAGATGACCACCTTCCTCAGTTGGTTAGGAATTTTCAGTTGAAAGGCTTTTGCCAGAATCCAGCACAGCAGTACTTCAGACCAAGACTTTGCTTTAGCAAGACACCAAAGTACTAAAATCTGTCGGAATCTGTTGCATCTTTGCTGAGCTCATGTTTTACTGATCATATTTATAACCAATGTGTGTTTAAGCTTTGAATAGAACTTAGGAAAAGAAATACTTGGTATTTAGATGAACAGTTTTAAAATACTGGAAATATGAAAGATGAATCTCCTAGATAATGATGTTCCAGCTGAGGTTTTCTCATCCTGCATTTTTGTTACATGCATAAAATGTGGTACATAGTTATGTTTAGAACCATCATAGTCTAATTATTCCATTCTATTATTGAGCTATAAAATTTTACAGATTACACTGGTGCCTGAATTTCAATGAGTTAATTTAATGATTTTGAGGTTTGCAGATGCTGTACTAATTCAGAGCATTACAGAAGCCTGACAGTACTCTTCTTTAAACTACAAACCATTAACTGAGATCAGTAGGAAGCACAAACAAAATATTCCCTAAAGAGCTTGGATTGCTTCAGTTGACATAGCTGAGACAAAGAAAAGGTGAATTCATGTGAGTGACTGAAGGTAGTAGACTCTCCTTTTTAGATTTTTGTACCATTTCCTTTCTCATGCTTGCTCTTCATGTCACCCCAGAGAAGACAGCAGAGCTTGAAAGTCTGGTTTCCAGGACATCCTGTATCTGAATTCTACAGCTTCAATAAAACTTATCTGTTGTTTAAGATATAGGAGGCTCTTTGTAAGCAAGTCATAATATAGTAATGTAGTTATTTTACACTTTGAATAATAATATACTGTAACAAAATCTGGCATCTTGTGACCAGAAAGAACTTTAATTTAGTGACTCATTGGGTTTGCAGACACAGAAAGGTTTACGAAGTTGTCTCTGAATGACTGTTAAGATATTGCGGTTGTTTATAGCTCCACATTTAATAGTGACAGATTAAGTGCTGTAAATTATTATCTCAGAGGTTTCAAAACATCTGCTATATTTTAATATGAAGTTATGGAATATGATTGCAGATACTTTATTGAAGTATATTGGAGAGGCGGTTCTTTGGAGGCAGTTGTTGAAATTCCATATTGAAGTATATATTGAAAGGCCAACATATCAAATATTCTTGCATATCAGTGTTTCTTAGTACTAGAGTGAATCAAGTGGGAGAGTTGGAGTTAGGTAGTTAGAAGAGATATCTGATGAAGGCTGGAAAAAAAGGGGTTTATTTACCTCAGAAATGGATCACTAAAATAAAGGTAAACATTGAACTATCAAATTCACTCCCAATTAAAATCATGTAAAATAATGAATTTATGATGAGATTATGGCGAATTATTTGTTTTAATTCATGTACTGACAGCAGAAAATTTTGTTTGCTTGTCTTTTCTTTGGGCCATTAATTTTGGCTTTCAGCTGTTAATTCACTGTTAAAAGCCTCAAAATTCTCATTATTTCTATTACTGAGCTAATTAAGTAACCTATTGGTTTTATTCTCTAATTTATTGCATGGTTTAATTATGTTGTATATCAAGTAATTAGAATTACTTTATATTACATAAGTATTCAAGTGGCACCTTCAGATTTTACTTTTATTGATAGAAGACTTGTCTTGCAAAATGGTTTTCTGCCTCTATAAATCTGACAGTTAAGCTGTCAACTTCATTGAGACAGTAAGAAGATTCTAATAGCCTATTGTATTTCCAAAAATTAGGGAACTAGATTTGAGTTTTTTTGTCCTTTTTTCCCCATTTCTATATAGTTTTGCTTTTTATTTTGTGTGTACAGCTACATAAGTCACATCCCTGGTTTGAATTCTCATTACTGCAGCCTTTTGCATTAGTAATTATTAAATCTAAGGAAATCCTTTACATTATTTTAATGTAGCAGGTGAATTTGGGAGAGCAGCTAATCCACTTTGTTAGTGCTTGAGAGGTGTATTTCTCCAGGATTGTGTTGCAAACTGCATTGTCCAGAATGCCCATTTTTGTTAACTCTTTTTCTTCCACCATTTGCATTAAATGAAGGAAGCTTCCCAAACACAAACCATGTAATAAAGTGCATAGTCTTTTCTGTTCAAGACAGTCACCTGAGGCTGGAATAAGTAGAAAGATGTCATAAGGTTGTGTGCTGAATAGTTGAAAATATGATGTCATGAAGATTTGCTGATTGAGCTGCATCCACTGAGTGGATATATATGTATTTCACTGTCATTTCTGTCTGTACAGAATTAGACTCTGTTTTGCAGTGTCTTTGAACTACGTGAACATACTCATTTTAGTTCAATACTTTTACATCCCTAACTGCTCCAGCATCCTACGTAATACAATGGCAAAATGTAAAATTGATTGTCAAGATACCAGAAGAATAATCTTCTGACATGACTTGAAACACTTCATGTAGCAAACAATTAAACACCCAAAGTGACAAAAATTACTTCTTAAACTATACTGTCTGTAAAATCAACATAACATGAAATCCCCTGGAGTGGCACTACTCAGTCTGGATTTTGGCATCTTTTAATCAAAGCAGATTAAAAAGGGAATTATAAAATAAGATGTGAGATTAATTGAATGAAATTATAATAATATTGGAGAGTGAGATTATAATATTTGAGAGTGTGTGTATGTGCATGTGTATGTATGTTTGTGTATACAGATAAAAAACTTTCTATATTTTCTTAAAGACATGTAAGACTGATTCAGCTTTTAACAAAAATTAACCTCTGAGTGAAAATTGTGTGATTCTGTGATTTATGAACTTACTGCCTTGGAGGTGGCAGTGGGTTTTTGATGTGCTGGGAAGTTAGCCATAGCCACATTGTCACAAAGTATAATGTCATGGACTGACTAACAGTGCAGTGTCTGTGTACCTAGAACAAGAAGATAGTGAAGTCTGAAGAAAAGACAAGCAGTGCACTCAAAAGTGTGAATGTTCCTATTCATTTTCTTAGTTTCTCCTTCAAATAAGAGGAGACAAAGAGAGAAATATTAGGTAGAAATTAGCAGTATTTGGATTAAATTAATCTTTGTTGATGTTGACATAATATATCTTTTATCTAAAATAAAAATGCATGTTAAGGAGCTCTGTATGGCAGCCTTTTATCTCATAGAAGTGATTTTGGTATAATCATTTGCAGTACTTCATTCATGCTTCTTAAAGTGTCAGCATTCAACTGGATTTGTTAGGCTAGCAGCTCAGACTCTGGTATCTTGTTTTGATGTGCAGGGCATATAGATGAATGTCTGTGATGTAATGTGAGGATCATGTATTTGTAATTCCTTATAAGAAGTGTGAGATTCTTTTTTCTTATTTTTGTATCTGTTACATGTATATTCCACTTGCTTTTCGGCTGTTATTTCCTACTTTGGGGAAAGGAGCAATAGTTTGTATTATGTGGGATCATAATATCCATAGGCAATATGGACTTGATGGATGGTGCTCTGAGTCAAAGTGATTTAACAGTGATAACTAACTTCAAAA